CAGCATGTTGTGTGTGCAGTGTGTAGCATGTTGTGTGTGCAGTGTGTAGCACGGTGTGTGCAGTGTGTAGCATGTTGTGTGTTTCTGACCGTTTGAGGGAGGACGACAGCTGCCACATGTGGTCCGGGTCCATTCCAGCTGGATCTTTCTGCAGAGCCACCAGGAAGATGTTCTTCTCCTTGTAGGAGGTGTAGAGGGTCAGGATGCCCATCATGATGAAGTACGTGATGAAGAGGAGTTAAGGAATACAGACCCTTCATCATCATCATCATCATCATGGTGGATCAGTTCTCCAACATTTCTCTGATCTTTACTTCAGATCCATAACTTTGTTAACCAGGTGTACAAACACAACTTATTTAACCCAGGTGAGCTAACACAGGTGAGCTAACCCAGGTGAGCTAACCCAGGTGAGCTAACCCAGGTGAGCTTGCAGCAGTAGAAGGATATGAGATGACACAGCAGGCCAGGACCGGTCTGGACTCAGGAAACGGGTACAGGTAGTCCCAGACCAGTGCCAGCATGGCGAAGAGACAGGAAACTGTACAGATCATCAGCCGGCCGTCCACCAGGTGGAAGTTCTCCGTGTACCCGTACTTCTCCAGGAGCACCTGTAGGCACAGGTGAACAACAATTACATTTAAAAAACTGTCTGCTACAAATGACAGAGAACCAATCAGCTGTTAACGAACCAATCAGCTGTTAACGAACCAATCAGCTGTTAACGAACCAATCAGCTGTTAACAAACCAATCAGCTGTTAACGAACCAATCAGTTGTTAACGAACCAATCAGCTGTTAACGAACCAATCAGCTGTTAGAGAAACTCAAACCTTCTTGGCAGCATCATCCAGAGAGTTCTTCACAGCGGCTCCGTCCCATTTATCGATCTTCACTGGTTTCTCATCGATCCTCCACTGCAACACAATCAGATCAGTTTTATTAAACAGGCAGGTTGATGACTGAGGAGAATATTCTAGACAAATATTTAAATGTTTAGTTCAGAAACTTCAGTTTTAGTTCAGTCAAACACTGACTGTAAACAACAACCATTAATCTGCCTGTTTAGTTCTCACCTGTGTGATTACAAGGTGCACGCACAGGTGATTACCAGCGTGAATCTAAAAAGATTATTGGGCCTCATGCAAGAACCGTTGGTACTCACAGATTTGTTCTTAAGTTGTGCGTACGAGTGATTTAGGAG